GGTTCTCCTCTGCAAAGCTACGAGGGGGTCTCTGCTCTGCCAAGACCGTGTGGTTCTCCCTGGCAAAGCTGCCAGGGGGTGTCCACTCTGCCCAAACTGCATGGTTCTCCTTTTACATGGCTGCAGAGGTCCCCACCCTGGCAAGAGTGGGTGGTTCTCCCTTTAATGGCTACCGTGTCTCAGTTTAAATCCTGGAGCCAATCCTCCTCTGCAGCCCCATTTCTGACTCTTCCCACAATCAGATACACTTGCCAGCACTCCCAAAACTTTCCAGCTTTACTGGGATACCATAGTGAGTATGGGCAGGTGTGGCCCCATGGTGTGGAGCTAATCATCTCCAAGCTCTCATGCAGGTGCTATTGTTATACCCAGCTAGGAAAATTACAGCTAGGGCATTACCCAACCCTAAATCTGCAGTTCCTGGAACAGGGTAATGAACAAACATCCGGGAACAATTGGGTTTAAAATTCTAGCCAAATAAGGTAACTAACCCGGGCCGCCAGAAAGTGCCCGCCAGCAGCAGCAGCACCCACCAATCAGGGACCCTGGCCGTTTTTAAATAAGCCAATAGCTAACCGCCACCTCTGCTTCTGTATGCCTTTGCTTGCTTGCTAGAAAATATAAATACCCAGTAGTCTGTAAGCCAGGCGCAACTTCCATTTTGTAGCTCTGAGTAGCTACGTGACTCCGGTCACAGTTGGGGAAGTTCGCCCCTGCACAGGAAAATCTTTGGCCATTAAAATTTTTATCAATTTGGTTCCGGACTCCGAGAGTGAGTATTTACCCGCCGATCATCTACAACAATCACCAGGGCGCGTGCTTCCCTTCGGCCTCCGGGCTCCCTCTCAGTCATCTGGGCCGCCACCCTCCCCCCACTTCACCAGAGGCAAAAAAAAGGCCTGCTTCCGTGAGTGTTTCCGGTCAGGGAACCAAAATGTTACAGAAAACAACTCAGTCGCTTTCCAGTGTACGCAGTGGAAGTTTATTTTCATGAGTGCAGATCCAGAGGAGTCAGTCTCCAAATTCTGGGCCCCAATCAGTGGGGAGTAATGGCTTATATAGGGTGAGGGGGCGGTCTGTCACTCAGACCCTTACTTCTGGTTTGGAAGCAGGAAGCAGTTTACAGAAACAAGAAAGTGGAACTGCTGATAGGAGTTAATATGAATTTCTTTGTTCTTACTCCTCAGTTACTTAGTTACTTGCTCTCCCTGATCCTGTTGACTACCAGCTAGCTCCCCTCCTGGGCAGGCCACTACAGTTGAAGTATCCAACTGCAATTGTGGATTTGTTTCTCCTTGTCACTCTCGTGTTTCCTTCATATATTTTGAAGCTCTGTTACCAGGTGCACAAATTTCTCAGTTATAGCATCTTCATTAATTGACCTTTCTGTTTTGATGAAATAACCTTCTTTATCCCTGGTAATATTCTTTGCTTTGACACTGACTTTGTCTTATGGAAATATTGCCACTCCAGCTTTCTTTTGATTAGTGTTAGCCTAGCTTATTTTTTATTCTTTTAACTTGTTTGTATCTTTCTACTGAAGATGGTTCTTGTAGACACATATGTCAGGGCAACTTTGCCTGCAAGTCCTCCTCCCCCACCCTTCACCACAGATGAAAGTAATACTGCCAAGACATGATCTGCTTGGGGAGGAAAGGTGGTCAATCTCTCAGAAGAGAAAGAATAAGAGCCTTTTCCTCAATGGGCTTTTATTGGGTTTATTTGCACAAGAATGCAGGTAAGGATCAAACAATAGATGGCATTCAAAGAACTATGAGGGCTTATTCTCAATCAGGGTCAGATAGCTAAAGAGCCATAAAACTTTGAGGAACAAACTTTTTGCTTGGACCCTTATCATTTAAATGAGAGCATTCTAAACAAAGCAGGTTTCACAGGATTTTACATATTCTTTCTTAGGCCTGATCACCTGGAACCTGCTCTAGCCGGCAAAGAGCTGCACCGCCTTCCCAGTCATAGGTTTTTAGGTTTAAGTGGATTAGAGCTAGGAAGCACTTATCCCAAGCGAAAATGGGGACTCAGGCTATGTTGGAATAGCCCGGGGGCGAGGGTCCATCACTCCCTCTTTGCTGCAGCCTCCTCCCCCCCTCTAGTCCTTCCTTGAGGGCCTCCCAAGTGATCGTGATCATGTCTGGCTTAGGTTACCCCTCCTCTGAGGGCTCTTACCGGTCACTGACTAACCCACCAAGCACTGGGGGCAGAGATGGATGAAGCAGAAGCAGTGCTGCTGCCAGAGAGATAAGCTTTGTCTCCTTAGTGGCTTGCAGACCAGAGGTCGCTCCCTCAGTTTTACCCATGGGGAGCAGTTACAACTCCTGGAACCAGGCAGAGCTGTTCCCGACACACATATTGTTGACTTTTGCTTTTTTTTATCCGGTGTGACAACCCTATCTTTTAATTAGCAAGATTAGACCATTTCCATTTAATGTGATGATTTGTACTGTTACATTTAAATCTACTGTCTTGCTATTTGTTTTCTATTTGTTCCATCTGTTCTTTGTTTCTTTTTTCCTCTTTCTGCTTTTGGATTGAGTACATTTTAGTATTTTATTTTATTTCCTTTATTAAGTCAGTAGCTATGATTCAGGTTTTGTTAATTTAGTGGTTGCTTTATGGTTTTTAATGTACATCTTTAGCTTATTACTATCTTCCAGTAATATTTTGCAACTTCATCAATAGTATGAGATTCTTGAACTAGTGTAATTCCATTTGTCCCTCCTGACCTTTTTGCTATTGTTTTTAATACATTTTACTTTTACTTATATTACTACGTGTGGGAAAACATCAGTCAGTTGCCTCTCACACATCCCCATTCAGGGACTTGGCCCACAACCCAGGCATGTGCCCTGACCAGGAATCAAACCAGCGACCTTTCAGTTAGCAGGAATATGCCCAGGCCACTGAGGGGCTGTTTTAGATAAAAGAAAGTTTGGTCAGTGTTTAGTAGCTGTATGAATTTTAACTGAAGTTAAGTAACTTTGACTTTGCTATCATAGGACTTTGATTTGATTCTGATTCTGATTATACTCCAGAAGTAGAGTTGATGGATAAAATACAGGATGCTTGGTTAAATTTGAATTTCAAATAAGTAACCAAAAATTTTTAAGAGAAAGTTTGTCTTTCTCTTAAATATTGTAGGTGACATGCTTATCCTAACAATTATTGATTGCTGATCTGAAATTTATACTTAGCTGAGCATCTTGTGTTTTAATTTGCTAACTCTGGCTGATCGTGTCCATACTGTGGGGCACCTCTGACGTTCTGTGGCATTACCCTGCTTTTGCTGAGGATTAGTCTTGGGACTCTGTTTCATGAAGATGTTTGTGTTTATAGTAGATTTCAGCTTTAGATTCTCTCCACCCAGGAGAGAAAACAGCATTTATCAACCTTTTGAACTAAGTCTTCAAAGAAACTTTCATAACACTTCCAAGAGGTCTTGGTGGCCCCTTGGCCTATCCTCACCTCTACTGTGGTAAGCTTTTACTGGGTATAGAAGAGGGTCCCTAATGGTCACTAAGTATGTAATAACCTTTTTAGGCATGGGGAAAGAAGCTTCTAGCACTTTGACAGTTCATGTGAATGAACTGAACTGTACACTCTGCCCTAGGCTTTTGTTCAGAGAGTAGTCACTTGAGCCCCACTTAGTTATGCATAGGCAAGGGGAACTGACACCCACTATCCTGAGAAGAAAAAACGCAACAGGACATATTGTTGGGTTTTGTTTCTTTTTGGTGCGTATGTGAGTGTGTGCTTAGAAAATGCTATTTCTCCCTTTAGTAGTCAGACTCAGTGGGGGTGAGCCAATTTGTACCAGTTGTGCAGTGAGGGTCTCCTGCACGTAAACACACTGTGAACACAAGTGCAGTTGCTTCCTGAAACATGAAGTAAGGTGGAACTAGTGAGGTCAATTGGCCCCTGCCCATGGTGTTGGGGTAGGATACAGGTTAGAGGTCCAGAAACAAGGGGGTGAGAAGCCCCACTGGTTCAAACCACCCTCAGCCCTGACTCCCAGTGTGATCTGAGGAACAATATCAAGGCTCATGGGTGAGAATATGGAAGAAATGAAGCCTTAGGGCCCCAGCGCGGAATCCCACTTGGACAGGACCCTGAACCAGTAAGAGCATCCTACCAACAGACCACCTGGGATTGGCTTTTGATACTGACACCTAGTGGCAATATCTGGTAATGACATCAGAGAACTGAACTTGTTCTTTGTCCACCTGGTGCCAGGAAGCAGGACTGAAGGAGCAGAGTTCTTGGACTGCACAGGGGAGGAGGAAGGACTGAGGAGAAAGAGGACTCAGGAGGGAGAACCTGGATCTCTTGTGCATAGGGTAGGAGGCTGCTGAGGCAATTATGAGAGGTGGTTCTATTGAGTTCACGTCCTTGTTTTGTCCCAGGCTGTGAGAAGTTGGCAAAATATTGCATCTCTTTTTGCCTCTGTTTATCAGCAGAATAATGATGATAATAGTACCTATCTCCTAAGGTTGTTGTGAGGATTAAATAGTTAATGCTTGTTAGAATAGTGGCTGGCACATAGTAAGTGCTCTGTAAATGGTGTAGTTATATTGGCACTCAGGTGAGTGGATGGCACAACAAGCTCGGAGGTAGATAGGATTCTCAGTTTGCAAATGCTGCGAGTGAGTTTCAGAGAATGTGCCTTGCTCCGCAGCAGACATACATGATTTGAAATCTGGTCCTCTGATCTGACTTGCATTTCATGGAAGTTTGAAATTACCTAACCCAGAAACCGGGTCTCTGTGATTGCTTAGCCATGATCAGAGACAGACACAAAGTTAGGTATTTATTTATTTTTGCAGAGCTCTTTTCAGTTTATTAAATGAAGCAGTTATAGCAATCCCAGTTAAAAGCAGTAGGTCTAACCATAGACCTCAAATGGTTATGTTATATAAGCTGCAAGGTTTTTAAATTTGTGACAAGGGACAGAGGGGAAGTGCCACTCATTGCAAGGAAGTCCTTGCTTAGTTAGCTTCACTGAGCCAAAACCACTTAAAACCATGAAACTTCAGCTGATCAACCTCGGCCTGTCCAGTCTCTATGAGGAACTGGTGTATGTTCTTGCACTGGTCACCCCGTAGCTGAATTACTTTTCCATATTCTGGATGCTCAATTACAGTAACAATGCAGGCAAATTTCTTTAATGCCTTCACTAGGTTTGTTTAAAAAAATTATAATCATCAGTGATTTCTTGGACTTCCTGTAATAAGAGTCTTCCTGCTGGTTCTCTGTTGAATTCTTATATGGGTGTAATCCTGGGTGTCAGAAGGAAACAGACCATCACCCATACTTGCACTAGCAAAGGGGCCAAAAGAGTGCAGGTTCTGGACAGCAGACATCCTGTGTGATTCCTTTTCCCCTTTTCCCTCACTGGAAACTGCCTGTGGAAGGCTGGGGTAGGGGAAGGGGTGGGCAGAGTATTGGTAAGCAATGGGGAAGGCTGCTGAGTCCTAGGCAGTGGTTCAGTGACTTGGGCCCAAAGTTATTATTATTTTTTCATTTGTGAAAAAATATTTTATTTATTTATTTTTAAAGAGAGGGGAGAGGAAGAAGAAAGAGGGAGAGAAACAACAATCAGTTGCCTTGGGGACCTGTACTGAAACCCAGGCATGTGCCCTGACTGGAAATCAAACCAGTGACCTTTGGCTTTGTGAGAACTTTGGCTTTGTGGGATGATGCCCAACCCATTGAGTCACACCAGTCAGGGCCTGAAGTTATTTTTTTATGGCAAATAAATCTGAAGCTGAAGTGAACAGGAGAAAAAAAAAGGCTCTATTGATGTCACCTCTAATTTTTTTCCCCCTCTTGAATACATTGTTTCTCTTCCATCTTCAGCGCCTCACCTTGGTTTGGCCCTTATCTCTTGCCTGGACTCTCACCCATCCTTTTCCCCTTTAACCTCCCCTCCATGGATCCTGAAGGCTGATCTTTCTGAACTGTACCCCCACCTCGAGCCTTCAGTGTCTCCCCATCTCTAGTGAGACAGTCCAGGCTGTTCAGCTGTGTACAGTTGGACCCCAGTCTCCTGATGAGCTTCTTTTCCTGCAACTCTCCAAACAGAAAGGTTCTCTTTCTGCTCCGAAGCATTTGGACACTTCTATGGCACCACTCACTGTGTTGCAGTGTAACTGTTTTTCACATGCAGTCATTCCAGGAGACAAGTAATTGAAGGCAGAGATCATATCTCATCCACTGGTGTTCCCTTAGTGATGCCAGGCTAGGATGTGTTGTTAATTGGGACAGATCATCCTTGGGACTCGTTTAGGATACAGAGGGGGCTACTCTTTGAGTTTAGGGTTGAATGCCACTCTTCTTTGCATAGGTATTGTATTATAGTATGAAACTGATGAGGAGAAAATAAATGGTCATTATATGTTATATTGATGTGCCATTTTTATATCTTTTAAGAAACCTGTAACATTGCAGTTTGGTTATACATCAGAGCTCTCTAATCAACAAGTAAAACAAGCAAATATTATTGTCAGAATTTATTGTGGTACTTGGTGGTGATTCTGGTGAGCAACAGCTCAAGTTGGAAAGCTTAGGCAGGTTCCAAGGGGCAGGTCAGAAACCAGAATACTGGGGCTCTCCAAAGATTTATATGGGCACGCCAGGCACAGCAGCAGTGACTAATCTGTGCTTCTGGTTGATGGCGGTGCAGTGGGGAGGTTAGGTGCTGTAACCAAACTATCTGGATTCAATCCTAGCATAGCTGCACTAGCTATGTGACCGTGGCCAACCTCCTCAGCCTCTCTGTGACAAAGTTGACTTATATTTAAGATGGGGATAGTCACAGCACCACTCAGTGTTGTTGTGCAGAGTTAATGCCCACGAAGTGCTTAGGGACAGTGTCTGGCAAGCTGTAAGCTCTGTGCCTGTGTTAGCCCTTATGGAGCTCAGTCCTGTTCTGAAAACTGAGCATTAGACAACCAGGTCCTCTAGATAAGAAGGTCTCCCTTCCTTTCAACTCCCTAGATGTCCGGCACCCGTACACAGTGCCCCTCTATTTATTATTTATTTATTTTTAAAAAGATTTTTATATTTTATTTATTTTTAGAGGAAAAGGGAAGGAGAGAGGGAGAGAAACATCAATGTGTGGTTGCCTCTCACGTGTCCCCCACTGGGAACTGGTCTGCAACCCAGGCATGTGCCCTGACTGGGTATCGAACCGTGATCCCTTCATTCTCAAGCCCGCAGTCAATCCACTGAGCCACGCCAGCCAGGCCCCTCTATTTATTTTTAATCCTCACCGGAGAATATGGTTTATTGATTTTAGAGAGAGGGGAAGTGATAAAGGGAGGGAGGGAGAGGTTGGGAGAGAGAGAAGAACATTGATGTGAAAGAGAAATATTGATTGGTTGCCTCCCCTATGCACCCCAACCTAGGATTGAACCCATAACCTGTTGGTGTACAGGATGATACTCCAACCAACTGAGCCACCTGGCCAGGGCTGCAGCTCCCTTCACATACTGCTTTTGAGTACCAAACACTTAAGGACTCAATCTCATTCCATTTTCCCCTTTGATTTTGACTCTTTTCTAATGGATGTGAGTCCTGAATCCAATGAATGTGTTCTGAATAAAGCAAGGGAAGCTGCAAACATCCCCTTCAGCCTCTCCGCCCAGCTGGGCCTCCCTTGCCAGGTCCTCCCTTGCACTGGAGGGCCTCCAAGTGTTACTGGGGCTAATTATGTTTTTTTTAAAAAGATTTTATTTATTTATTTTTAGAGGCAAGGGAGAGAAACATTGATGTGAGAGAGAAATATTGATTGGTTGCCTCTTGTACGTGCCCTGACTGGGGACTGAATCTTCAACCCAGGCATGTGTCCTGACATGGAATTGAACTGGTGACCTTTCACTTTGTGGGAAGACACCCAACCAACTGAACCACAGCAGTCTGGGCATCATAACTAGTTATTAATAAAGGAAAGAGAGCAAAGGGAAGTGGATATTGAGTTTAATAACCCGGGAACATGAGCCTGTGTGCTTCACCAGGAAGCTACAGCTACCACCCCAAATGAATCATAGCGTTGCTCTACCAAGTGGGCTAACAATCCTCCTTCCCCTCTCTGCTACTGCATCGGTATTGGGGGGCACAGAGGGAAGAGTTTGATCATAGAGGCGTCAGTCTAACTAGGGGGTGGAGCTATCAAAAAGCCCATGAAAGTCTGGGAAGTTGATTAGTTCTTTTGAAAAAGCATCTGGTCCATCCCAAACCCAAACTAGTATAATCCCAGAGGAACAAAGAATCTCTTCTCCCCTCTCTGCCTCTCTTCTCTCCCACTCTCCCTCTCTCCCTCTCTCTCTTTCGAACGGCACTCGCCTTGTGCATTTATATGTTATCTCTTGTCTGGGAGCACGTGGCCATGTGGGTCTGGCAGCTACCGGGGCTGCAGCAGACTAGTGGGCTCAAAAGGACTGAGCCTTGGATTTCTGCCAAGATGGAGGCATAGGTGGATATGCCGTGCCTTCTCACACAACCAAGTTTAGAGACAACTAAATATTAGCAACAGAAAACACATCCAGAACACAGAAAATTGAACTTTTCGGAAGTCTGTTAACAACAAGTTCTTCAGCCTGACTGGTAAGGGGCGAAACCAGCAGCTGGTGGAGCAGGGTTGCACAGGAAAACTCGGTCAGACGGACTCAGGCGCATGGAATCCAGGCGCAGGGTTGGACCTAGTGAGCGACCGAGTGAGCAACCAAGCGAGCCACCGCGGGGAAACAGTGAGGGAGCAGGGCTGCAGGTTGACTGTGGTTGCGCATTTGTGCACGGATAGACAAGTGAGGGAGTGGGCGTTTGGACCGGAACCTAGCGGGTCCCCGCGGCAAGCGGCAGGGAGGGCGCTGCCATTTCCCTGCTCTGACCCCACCTCCACATACAGCGCCATAACCCAGCGACTCTGAGTGGCCCGGCCCAGGTGAACAACCTAAGCCTCTGCTCCTCACCCAGCGGCGAGAAACAGCAGAGGGGGCCGCCATTTCCCCGCTCTGACCACGCCCCCACATACAGCATCACAAACCAGTGACCTGGGAGTCCAAGGCACCGCTCCTCACACTTAAAGGGCGCGAACAGACCAAAAATGGCTCAAGAAGATCTCAAAGCCCCAGAGCCTATAAATCTAAGCGATGAAGAAATAGCAAAACTCTCAGACGCACAGTTTAAAACACTGGTGATCAGGATCCTCACAGAACTGGTTGATTATACCCACAAATTAGACAAATATATGAAGGCAAAACTAATTGAAATGAATGGAATTGCACAGGGCACCAATAGCAATGAAAAGGAAACTGGGACTCAAATCAATGGAGTGGACCAGAAGAAAGCAAATAATGGCCAAACAGAAAAGAGTCAAGAAGCAAGAATTCAAAGAAATGAGGAGAGTCTTAGGAACCTCCAGGACATCTTTAAACGCTCCAACACCTGAATTATAGGGGTACCAGAAAGGGGAAAGGCACAGCCACCAGTGGAAAACTTATTTGAACAAATAATAAAGGAGAATTTCCCCAATCTGGCAAAGGAAATCGACTTCCAGGAAATCCAGGAAGCTCAGAGAGTCCCAAAGAAGTTGGACCCAAGAAGGAACACACCAAGGCACATCATAATTATATTAGCCAAAATTAAAATGAAGGAGAGAATCCTAGAAGCAGCAAGAGCTAAGGGGACAGTCACCTACAAAGGAGTCCCCATCAGACTGTCAGCGGATTTCTCAAAAGAGACCTTACAGGCAAGAAGGGGCTGGAAAGAGGTATTCCAAGTCATGAAATCCAAAGACCTACAACCAAGATTGCTCTATCCAGCAAAACTTTCATTGAGAATGGAAGGACAGATAAAGCGCTTCTCAGATAAGACCAAATTCAAGGAGTTCATCATCATCAAGCCCTTATTATATGAAATGTGAAAGGGACTTATCTAAGAAAAAGAAGTTAAAGAAACATGAACAGTGAAAGGACAACAAACTCACAGTTATTAACAACCACACCTAAAACAAAAGCAAACTAAAAGGACAGCTAGATCAGGAGTGGAAACATAGAAATGAAGATCTCAAGGACGGTTAGCAACAGGGGAGTGGGAGGAGGAGAAGAGGGGAGAAGGTACAGAAAATAAATAGCATAGACAGTAGATAGAAAATAGATGGGGGGGCAAGAATAGCATGGGAAATATAGAATCTAAAGGAATTGAGACACATGGTCATAAACTAAAGGGGGGGTAATGGTGGGGATGGGGGTAGGGTGGAGGGGAATGAAGGGGGGGAATAGAACAACTGTAACAGCATAATCAATAAAAAAATTTTTAAAAAAAGGAAAAAAAAAAGGACTGAGCCTTAACATGAAGCAGA